GAAGCCCTATTTTCGTGGACCTTTTTGTAGTCAGGATGTAAGAGAAGGTCTTGTGGTGGCATTTGTGAAACATGTTTGCACTGTCTGTAATGTAAGTTGTTTCAATGAAGATTGAATTGTATTTGCATTGCTTGTCTTTATGTGACAGATACTCTAAATCGGAAAGTTATCATAAAAGCACATAATTTTGTCATTCTGACATCTCTCTGCTCTTAAATATTATAGACAATTTTTTTTTCATACTTCTTTTATTTATTTAAAAACAAAAGTCAATCAATAATCATTACTTTAGAAAGTCATAAATATTTACAGTTTTACTGAACTGCCCTTGGTGCTTTTTCATTTCATGCCACAGATGTGCTCTTTAAAACCACCATTACTTTTATCTGGATTCAATTGCAAAATAGAAAAAAACTATTTTTCTTTTCTCAGACCTGTTTACCCTCAAAGTCTTAAAATCGTACAATATCATCACAAAATTGTTCAATACCTTATATTTATAGTAAAAAATAAACATACGGTATATAATATTTACACCTCAAAATCGTACATTGTACGCCAAAATCGTAAGAGTAAACAGGTCTGTTTTCTTAAAAACAAATTGTAGCTTTTACTCTTTTCCTAATCATTCCATATTTTTTTTCAACAGGACTTCTGTGAAGTACCAGGAGACAAGACAATGAGTCCACCTGCTCTTCTAATGATATTGTCTAGATTTTGCATAGACTTAGAGAATGCTACCATTTCTTATCTGGTAAAGCCAACACAATACTCTACTAGTTTACCAACAGACATGTTGAAAGTCTAACTTAATGCTTCCTTGAATTCATTGTTTCTCATATTTCTTTTGATATTCTTTTTATAAGTAAAATATTTTGACAGTTGTTAACAACTGATTTCAAATAAGTGAATGAAATATTTGACAAATAATAATATATTTAGACTTACTTAGATGTTATTCATCTTAAGAAATATGTATGCATAGATGAATGATAGAAAAAAATACATTTCTTTCAAGTTTTTTAAATATATTTTTTATTTGTATTGTGCCACATTGTACAGAACAAGCACAATTTCTTTTACAGCTTTCACTGGCAGAAGAGCAGTTTATGGTAGAGGACAAGGCAACTGTGACAGCCATGAGTGAACTTTTTGCAATGGCTAAAGACACGGGGCAGAGACTTCTGAATCATTATGTTCGTGTTCAGGGGTTAACAATATCACAGGTTGATGAATTTTCAAAGTAGTAACAAGTGTAGTTTACTATTGTTCTGATGATGAATCTACGGTTGAGCAAGATCATCCTTTATGTTATGCAAATATATTCAATGTGTATATGTATAGATATATATGTTAGATATATATGTATGTCAAGTATGTGTCACGTCTTTCCGTGTTCATGAGACGATGGAGTAGCTATTGACACTTCATCAAATGACTTAGGAGGCCAATCCTGGGATGGCAGTCTCGGCTGGAATTCTCGCAGGAGAACCTTGACTTCTGGATAAATTTGGCCTGCTCTAAAGCTCTTTTTGCTGCAAGGTCTTTTTTTTCTAAACATCTTCCTCTTGTTTGACTTCATCATACACTGCTGTTTTCCAGCTCAGCAAGATGTGCCATTCATTGATTTATATGATTACTTCCCTCATGTGCCATTTGCAAAAGTCCTTAAATCGCAGCCATCCAATCAGTCTTTGCACCCTCTGCCAACTCTCCATGTAGCAGATTCTTTAAAATAAGATCTTTCTCTATTTTTTAAAAAATGGCCTAACCAACGAAGGTACCTCTTGCTAAGAGCATAAAAATATGCTAAACGTTTCGGCACATTCCAAAACCTCTGTGTTAAGCACTTTGTGCTGCCATGGAATTCATAGAATGTGATGTAGGCATATTTGATGGAGTGAATTATTGTAGTTTACTTCTTTCAGATGCTGCGAAAAAGTGTAGAAACAAGGGACTGGTTGAACACCATAGAACCTCGAAATGTTCGTGCTGTCATGAAACGTGTTGTGGAAGATATAACAGCTATTGATATGCAGGTATTTATTAACTAATCCAATTTTCTGAAATACCTTCACATATTTATGAGCAGATATATAGAAATGTATTTTTGGTTTGTAATCGAATGCCTTCAACTGCAATGTTTATCTTTTTTTCTGACTTTACTAGAGCTGCTACGTACTTAATATGTAATCAATTAATTTAAAATAAAAACTTTTTGAAGTATAAATTTTGCTGTAGTTGCTTTATATAATTCGGTTGAACAATTTTACTAAGGTTGGACAACTGTATGAGGAAGGAGTCAGAAAAGAACGTAGTAGTGACTCCAGCAGAAGGACACATGCCCTCAGTGCAACACAGCAAAATAGGAGACCACAATGGAACTATGCTCCCAGGTTTAATCATTTTAACAATGTTCCAAGATGAATCTTGTAAACATGTTTATAATGTCTTGAAACTCCCACTAGGCCAGTTGAATTAAACAACTTTTAATGTTTAAATAATAAACTTGTAATGTGCTAGGTAATTTAGAGGAAAAGTGATTTTTTTTTTTTTTTTTTTTCAGTGTTGACAACAGTTTGATGAGCAACATTCAGAAACTCTTTTCTGAGAAGATTGAAATTTTTAGTGCAGTGGAGTTTTCCAAAGTGTCAGTTCTCACGGGGATTGTTAAAATAAGTCTCAAGGTCGGTTTTTTAAAGTTTGGTTTTTTAAAATTATGCAAAACAGTTCTACCTTTGCAATGCATGCTTGGTAACCTATATTTGCTGTGTATTATTGTGGGGCAAAGGTAGATTGTGGAATGGAATTGTTTTTATTTTTTTCGGGAGAATACAAAATCCAGAATACTTGATAAGAAAGTGTTTAGTACGTTAACAAATATATCTAGTAAATGTCCATGTTTGTCCATATCATAAATATATAAATGTCAGTAGAGGGAGCAAAATATTTTTACATGCCTTGATAATGACATGTATTTTTTTTCTTTGAAGACATTTTTGGAATGCGTTCGCTTGAGAACATTTGGCAAATATGGACTACAGCAGATACAAGTCGACACACATTACCTTCAGCTTTATTTGTGGCGATTTGTATCTGATGAAAAGTAAGAATTTTCACAACAGTATTTTGTAATTTGTAAATTTTAAGAACTTAAAAGGAAATATAAATTTAATTTGCCTGCAATACAATAGGTTTTTTTTACATGCTATTTCTCTGTGGTATAAACTGATTTTTTATATTTGGTTTTATGATATTGTCTCCTCACTATCAGAACTGAGGGTTTTTTTTTTCAATCAAGTTATATTTCACAAATAATAATTCTCTAGGTATGTATGCATGTCTGTAATGCTGAGTTCAATAGACAGTCCCCACACTGTGTTCAATAAAGAATTCTCAGAAGTTAGCACTATATGTTAGCAGCGATATTCATATCAGCTTATGGTGCACCACCTCTTGAAAGGGATTTTCTTGTTTATCCACATGATAAAAAAAAATCCAATGTAATTAAATACTAATTGGGATTCATATAAAGTGGGTTACTTGAATTCATGTTTTGTCCAGTAACTTTAGTGGGTGGGAAGTTAACACATTGCCTTTGTTTGGCAGATAATTTATGGTATATATAAATAATATAATATATCTTGCATTCTGATTTGCATTTCTTTATTTTGAAATTATTAGCTTAGTTCAAGTCCTGCTAGATGAAATTGTATGTAGTGCAGTCCATAGATGTGTAGAGCCAGCAATGATGGAACCTAGTGTAAGAAGTTTACATTTTGAAATAATTTAAATATCATATAGATATAGTTTAAATATTTTCAGTAGATAAAAAAGAGCTGATTAAAAAATCAATTTAATTTCTCTTTCCAAGACATGTAAATTCAATTTTATGATTACTGGAATAATTGAATATTAAAATTATAAATAAATGAATTACTGAAATTACTGTTCATTAAATTTAAAATTTTGAAGAAAAATAAATTCAATATTAAAAATTGCATTTTTTTCCCTTCAAAATTTTTTATTTTTTAATGAACAGTAATTAATTTATTTATAATTATAAGCTAACAAAGTTCATTTCACCACATATCGGTGGTCAACCCCCACCCCAGTTGCCCACAATGGCTTTACAAGATGGCAGACGTTTATATTCCTTTGGGTATTCAGTTTAGTAAAATAAAAAATAATAAATCTTGTTTTTTTTCCTCCCATTTATAATGAAATTTAATTATCTGATGTATTGATATTTTTTTCAGGTTATTGACCTCATTTGTGAAAGAGGATAAAATAATTGTGCTCAAAATCTAAAGCAGGATTCATATTTTTATCTACTGTGATTGGTGATGGCATTAAATATTACTTTGATGGAGACAATGTGTTATTGATCTCTTGTGTATAATTATTCAGTCTACTTTGGTGTTTCATATTTTTTGTAAAAATAATTGCTTGAAAAAAAAAGTATAAAATGGTTATTTTACATTCCTTATATTTATGTCAATGATTATCAGGCTTGAGATTTTCTGTAAATTTAAGTTAAAATGTATTTATTTGCAATGTGAGAAATAGCTATGTATATACATTTATTTAATATAGTAAACCTCAAATGGTTAATCCAAGAATTTTAATCTTGCATCAAACACCTTCAAAAGTTTATACCAAAAAAAGTTTCATTTTTCTAATAAAGATTGAGATTTTAAAATAATTTTTCTTTATTTCATTACGATTTTCTAAAACCATTATTTTTTTGGTTAGTGTTTGTTATGCTGCTTCTTTGTGTGTTGTTCTTAAGTTTTAATGGTGGCATTCAGCCATATCTCCTAATTTTCTTGTAAAAATTACTTCAAAGGAAAGCTTACTAGCGAAAACTTTATGAAAATCCACTCAAGATCATAAAACATTCGGCTATACAAAGTTCCAAACTAGTCAGTAAATTAATGTAGACTTTCTTCTAAATCCAAAATAACTAATAAATAATGAAGTGCAACAAATACAGGGACTGTTATTTTACTTTTTTTTTTTTTTCTTTTTTTTTGGCAATTGTAAAAAAACAACCTGCCTACATGAATCAGACAAATATTTTGCATGAAACTAACAATATTAATAATGTTGCAGTTACACTTTATGTAAGTCATTCTCAAAATCTTGTTTTATTTTGGACAACAAGTCTGGGTTTAAAAATATATCTAAAGCCACCATGGCTAGGATCTTTGCCTGGGCTAATGTTGAAGGCTGTGCATCTGGTGATGCTAAAATATATAGAAAAGAAATAGAAAAAATTCATCAAGTGGACAAGGTTACTAACTTAGTGTATTTAATGGAATTCAATGGTTTTCATACCAAATAAAATGAATAGTTTCACCTAACTTTATTTGAAAAATGAATAAAGAGTTAATTTTTCAAGAATTTAATTCAAGACACAGCAAAAATATTTTAAAACCAATATGCTGATAAAAAATTTAAAAACTATGAGCAAAAGGATTTTAAACACAAATTTGAAATGAATATTTAAAAATATATTTTTTTTTTTGTTTTTTGTAATGATTTTATTTAAACACGTTTTTTTTCTTTTTTAAAATCACCTGATGCTAATGCAAATTCCTTAGTATGATTAACTGCTTGAGTCCCACAGTTATATGTTGGATGCAAACTTGGAACTCTGTGACTTACATTACCCATATCAGTTGAGCCCAGAATCTACAACAATAAAAAATCTAACTATTCATAAAAAATTAAAATTTGAAATGTAACGATAATGAAAATCTAAAGAATGAGAAAATTGTTTCATCAACACTGTACTAATTTTGGAATTTTATGACTTGTTAAATCAACTCCTAATTTTATTTCAACCCTAATAAATAAGTCAAATTTGACATTACAATAATTATTTGTTTTATTTTTAAAAATACATAAAATGGAGATAACTTCAATTGTGTTTCAACAATGCATAATTATAATACATTTTAAACAAATCATAGAAATCATATGGGCTGTTAGAATGTCATTGTTATTTGGAATACAGTTAGATATTCACACAACTGAATGATAAATTATTTTAAATTTTGTTTTTGGACCTCATATTCCTAAAATATTTAAACAGACTCATCATGTGTAAAATCGTTTCACCAACCTGCTTTGATGCCACTGGAGGAAATTCCACCCCAATCAGAGCACCATTAGTTTCATAAAGTTTGGCAAGTGTTTCATTGGTGATCAGACTTTCATAAGGCTTTATGATATCTGTGATGTCCACCTGCAGGAACATATTAATCCTAAAATAGGACACTTGTTTCCCATAATTTGAACACTCAATATAATAATGAGGTTTATTTTCTTTCAAGTTTTGTCAAGCAAATAATGTATAACCATTTTAAGGATGTATTAATTGCCACAGTTAAACTTATTTTAAAGTAAAATAAGAAAATTCAAGGTTAAGTCCATTAATTCATCTTACTGAACACCCAGTGGCTGTAGCTGCGGCTGTAACACTTGTCTTGACCTTGGTGTAAACTTCTTCAACCTCTGAGTCGCTAGGGGCCCTCACCTGCAGCATCATTTGAGTCTCATCAGGTATGATGTTTGTTTTAGTCCCTCCTTTAGTAATGATAGCTGAAAGTAAGAGAGAAATGATTAATAATTAATTCCAACCCCCATCCATCCCTGCGGCGCAACAGCCCGTGTAGGGCTTAGGCCTGCCTCACCACTTCCTTCCACTTAGACCTAACTGATCTTTTTCCACATCATCCATCCATCTAAGCCTAGGTCGACGCCACCAGTTGAAAATGTTTTGTAATTAAGGCTTGCATTGCAAAAAAGCTAATTAATACAATTTATATCTTTAATAATATTTAAACTGAATGTTTAAAAAAGAATGACATTTTCAAAACTGTCTTACCATGAACCCTCCAGGTAGGCTTTAGCTGCTGCCTCAGAGCCGCTACATTCATGTAGCCAAGCACAGCTGCATCTAGGGCATTGACTCCATCCCAGGGAAACCCTGCCGCATGAGAGGCCTTACCATGGTAGTTGACGTAAAACCTGCATTGATGAAATTAAACTAATTAGGCCAACACTAATGTTATTTTTGTTCAAATCTGTAACTTTCATTTGCTTATGCCTGTGGTAAATAATTATTGTCAGGGAAAGAGCTAAACAAAAAAACCCTTAATTGAACTAAAATGATTATTGATATAGATGTAGTTTTTTTAAAGTCAATTATGTTCTGCATTTGAGAAAAGAGGCAACAAATAAATAGGGGACAAAATTAATGTAAGAGCTATAACAATATGAATATTGAACATAGAAATGTCACTACTTTTATTAATTTTTTTTTCAATGAACAGGTTTTTAATATCATGTTTTTTTAATTTATCAATCATGTTTAATGTCAGCTTATATAACTAGTCTTTTAACAAGATAACAACATTCAGCTAAAGTTTTGCTATGTAGAAAGGTGTATACATTTTTGATGTTATGGTTGCAGACATATTCACCTTTTACCACCAAGAAAAATTGGCCTTGGATCTGTAAATGAAGTAGGGTGTGACATCATCGCCACATCAACATCATCGAATACACCAGCATTTAAGAGCTCTATTTTCCCTCCACCTCCTTCCTCAGCTGGAGTACCAATGATTGATACCTTTGTGAAATACCATTGTAATAAAACTTTAAAAAAAAAAAAAAACTAATAATGCAGTTAATTACTGACATGTTTTCTAAAACGTCTGACCCAGGCTTTAGTTTCAGAAAAAACATGTCCTAAATAAATCTGTCAAATCTTTTACCTTCCCCAATTCTTTTCCAGCTTGTTGCAAAGCACCCTTAACAGCAAGTCCAGTTGCCAATGCAATTTCAGCAATTAGGTTATGGCCACAAGCATGACCAATATCTGGCAGAGCATCATACTCACACATGATTGCCACATGAGGCTTTCGTCCTGTAGTAATAAAAATAATTTACAATATCTTATACAATAAAATTACTTGTAAAGTGTCTTAGTTTTTAATGGCTATTAAATACTATTGTGTTCCAGGCAAAAGTAAAAAGTTTTAGTTTCTACTAAATTTTAACTAATAACAATAAAATAGCATAAGCAACAGCTCACATCAGATATAACAATTTTGTTTAAATTTTAAAAAAATAATTAATGATTGATGTTGAAATTTATGTTGATGAGAGGGCCTTAAAATTTGTTGTTGTTTTATGTATCCACTGTATAATATAATATGCTTACTAATACTATTGCAGAAGTCAATCAAATTCTAAAGTCTTATGTCATATTATATAATTAATTATTATTGACTTTGAATAAATACTTTCAACAACATATTCAAACTGTTAATACTGTTAAGAAATTCCACCTGCAGTAATATAGCTGTATTCTGTATAATTCCAAAGCTATGTTCTATTTCAATATATTTAATAAAATTCTCACAGATTACGCTTTTTGCATCAAAAAAACTTATTATAAATAAAATATTCTGCAGCGATACAATTTGATTCAATTAATTCAGTTAGGAATGTTTTTAACAGATGTATTACCATTATATCAAAGCAAAATTTTAAAGTTTAAACATTAAATTGCTTTACTAAAAATATAGTGCACATCATTTTGAAATTCTTATGTTTACCTTGAGAATCAGCAGCCTCATAATTTCCCCACCAAGCAATAAATGCAGTCTCCAGTTTGTAGTGACGTTTAACGTGGAATCCCTTCTCCTCCAAGAACTTGGTTAAGCAGTCATGAGACAAGCGCTCTTCAAAAGAAAGCTCTTTTAGATTCCATATTGTTTTGCTGATTTCATTAAGTTCAGTAGATTCCTGTTTAATTATATCACAAACTGTTTGCTTCAAGGAATCCATTAGTAGTCTTATATATGGTCTCTGGATCACAAACTTTCTCATAGAGTAATTACAAGACTAACAAAATAATTATATGCTTTTCCTTTAAAAGTATGGCTGTGTAGTGGTGTATTTTAATAACATGACACAGGACAGTATTGCTAGTATTTATACACATATGAATCCAAATGAAATTGGAAAATATTTGTCACTCCTTCAACAAAATATATTTCTAGACCTTGGTACAGTCTTGTTATCTTAACTTTATTATACTCAATGATAGCTCAGCTGATAAAAGCCTAGACTAACTTATAGAGCAAATTAATTCTATGCATGCTTGCTTAACAGCAAGTACAATTATAAGTGCTTGAGTATCTTGACAGCAATTATGAAGTGGGCTTAAGCTGGACTGAAGTATTTTTTTCTGTATGAAGAAAAAATGTTAAAATATATATAAAGCAACATAAATTGGTCTTAAAATGATTCTGAAAGCAGCTAAGATATTATCTCTACTTATGTAATTAACGTATTGCTACACTAGTAAGTGTGTAATGCTTTAATAAGATACCAATGATATTTACTTTTAACTATTATGAGAACGGTAAATTCATAAAATCCGTGCCATGGCCGCCATCTTGGTAGCCATGACCCCTGAATGGTCACTCTAAACCAGGGGTCTCAAACTTGCGGCCCCTGGGCAATTTGCGGCCCCCAGGACGATATTTTGCAGCCTGCTACATGACAGCAAAGTTTAATTTTAATGCGGCCCTTGCCTTTTCCCCATTCTCATATCTATAATGTGACATTCCACTACTGCTTCAGTCGACTCTCACCGACTAGTCTAATTCTGATTTTTATTATGTTTGTATAGATTTGGATTTTGATTATAATGGTAAGAACCGTTTAAAAAAATTAGACTAATAGTATTTATTTTATACCATTTTATGAAACAGACATGGCCAAAGTGCGGTTTTGAGAAAAGTTTAAAAAGTCAGTTAGTGGGTAATGCACAACCAAAATTGTGTTAATCATAGTAACCTGAGACAGTATCAAAGAATCGCTATTAAAATTGCAGCTAGTGTTTACGAGTGAGGGAAATTCTGAGCCTGTCAGCTTGGTCACTTTTAAAATAGGGTTAGTAAAAAAGGCCTTTTCTTCCATAAAAAATCAAAATTCATTCTCCCTACAATAGCATCTTCCATCACATCAATAATTCATAAATATTGCCTGCCCCTGCCGACTGTTTGAAGATGTTTTAGCCTTCAAAGCCTTCATGGAGAACGATGGGGTGATTGTTCCTGTACTAAGTGATCTTAAATGGCTCATGGACTTGGTTTTTCTTGTTGACATTACACAGGAGCTGAATGTACTCAACAAGAAGTTACAAGCCTAGGGGTAGCTTGTCAGTGTTGTCATTGACAATGTCAGAATATTCTGCACAAAACTTGTAAAATGATTCTTAGAGAAACCTCTGCCATTTCCCAACATGCAAATTACTCATGGTCTCTGGCACACCCTTCAGTAGTAAGTAAACGTATGCCATTGCAAAGCTACAAGAAGAATTTGATCACATGTTTTTAGACTTAAAAACAGTCAGAGCGACTTCCCAACTTTTTTGCTGACCATTTCTCCTTCAATTTTGAAGATGCAACCCCCCCCCCCAACCAACCCCTTTGCGCTTTAAATGGAGCTAATTGATCTTCAGTGCAATTCTAAGTTCAGGGATGTGAATGGAAAAACAGACAAGTATGGATAATTTATGAGAGCATTTCCCTCTACCTTCCCTGAGACTTCCAGGTTGTTCAAGCGGATCATGGGCCTTTTTTGGGAGTAGGCCTACCTATCTGTGTGAAAAGCTCTTTTCCACTATGAACTTAAACAAGTCAAAGCTCAGAGCCAAACTCACTGATAAGCATCTTCAAGCTATACTTAGGGTCTCAGTTGCTTCCTCCCTCAAGCCAAATGTTGCTCAGCTGTTTAAGAAGAAGCACTGCCAGATCTATGGCAAAAATAAGTAGGAGGAAGAAGTGAAGCGTAGTTCTTGAGAACCCCTAATGTTTTTATTAGCTATTAATAAAGGTTCAGCAGATTGTAAAAGTTGTACTTAATTAACTTTGTAATCGATTTTTTGTGTAGAATACTTGATGTGGCCTCCTGCGGACCCAGGATGATTTGAGTTTGAGAAAGTGAGATCCCTGCCCTAAACTTATTCCTAAACCTAACCTGAACCCTAAACCTATCCCTAAAAACCTAACCTGAACCCTAAAGCCTAAAGCTGTTAAATTAAATAAACCATGCAAATGACAATTGTACAAATTGTCAGCTTTAGCTAAAAAAAAACTAAGCGACAAAGCATTAAAACATTTTCAACAAAAACTTTCTTGAGAACATCTTTTACTGACTTGCTATAGGTGTCATTCATCATTGAACTATACAATCAACAACGCCAAATGGCAGGTGCAGGCCCTATAGCCTACATTGTTCTAATAAATATATTATCATAATCATAGTCATTCATGTGCAGTTAAGTCATGTAGGCATATAAATATAAGGTAAGGGCCATCCATAAATGACGTCAAGCATGATGGGTGGGAGGGGGGGAACACAAATTTGTGATGAATAGTAATAGATAATTTAATGAACCATAATCATAATGATACTGTGAATACTGTGATGTCCATGTGAAAAAAAAAATGTAATTATGATGATGCAGAGACAGGGGTTTGGGAGTGGGTGACAAAAATGGTACAGAATTAGTTGAATTTATTTATTTATTGATGGCCCCTTAGCCGCGGCTTAGCATCATTAGTGAGCCTACCTGTTGCTTTTAGTTTTTCGGCCTACTTATACTGTGATGACCAGTGATGTAAATTTAACAAATAATAATAATCATTAAGTAATTAAGGCTAATTTAGACACATAATTCGGTTGACACATAATTTGTTGTACAAATTACAAAGAACTTAAACTAAACTTGAACATTTAATTTTAATCAAAATCAAAAGATTGAAAAACTGTTTCAGTTGCCGTTGCATGTACCGTGTGTTCAGCGCTTAATTTTTGGTTTCATAAATTATTAATAATTAAAAATGATATTCAAGCGATCAAACTATCACCTGGTAGTATTTGAAAGTTGCTCGAATCTTAATTTCAATGGCATAATGCTATTTTGTTAGTGTTATATTATATATCTTGGTCTTGGTAGTACTAGTGTAGTAGGCGGCAACCGATAAAAGTGAGTGTAGAAATTACGTAAATGAACGTTTTTTTCCAAAATAACTTCTTAAGACCAACAAGTCACATTTTTAGCCAAACCATATTCCATAGTAACATTCAAAAGAAATAGGCTTATTACATAATTGTAATAGTTGTATTAAATGTTATCAACCCCCCCCCCTCTCAAACCAGCTAAATATTGAGTCTATTAATTAAATAACATAGCATCCCTCGTAACAAACTTAACTTAACATTAAGTTTAAGACTTAAAAAGCCTTATTTTATACAGGGTGGGCCAATAAAAGTGAGAACATCTCGTTATATGTGATTTTTAGTTTAACTATACCCATGCTAGCTTTAAAGTCGATGAGAAGCAAGGAGGACACATTGAACATGATTTCTGATTAGCTAAATATTTTGCAAAAAAAAATTCCATGAAGAATTATAATTAATTAAATTATTTATATTTCGAAATAACTCATATGCTACGAGATGTTCTCACTTTTATTGGCCCACCCTGTATATATTTTAATAAATACTAGCCAATACTCCCAGCGTTCCACGGGATTGCATTTGGAAAAACAACTTCTAAAGCCTTTTAATTAACAGTCAAATTGAGTGCAATGTAAAAGAAATATAACACCCCTATTGTAAAAAAAAAAAAAATAACAACACTTTATCTCCCATAAAACAAATTTAGAATAACTTTTGTAAACCTTTCGTTCCCCGATGGGATCCCAATACCGGAGGGATTCCAATTGGATCCCATTTCATGATGGGATCCCGTTTTCTGTTGGTATATGGGTATCGGGAGGGATCCTGACCTTGTTTGGATCCCGATCCCAGTTGGATCCCGATACTGGTGGGTTCCCGATACTGATCCTTGTGAATTCTCGATCCCGGTGGGTTCCTGATCCAGTCGGTAATTCGATGCCAGTGGGTTTCCAATCCCATCAGTATCCTGATTACGGTGGTTTCGCGATACCAGTGGGATTCTAATCCTGGTTGGATCACGATCCCAGTAGGATTAAGATCCTTGTGGGATCCTGATCCTTGTGTGTTTCCAATCCCATTTCCAGGTGTGATCACGATCCCGGTTGTATCATAATCCAGGTTGTTAAGCATTTCCTGGATGGATTCCAATGCCATTCGCATCTCGATCCCCCTCGGATTCCGATCCCGGTGGGATCCCATTAGGATCGTGTTCTCTGTGGGATCCCATTTCCCAGTGGGATCCTCTTCTCCGATGGAATCCTATTTGCCCTATTTGATCCTGTTACTCAATGGGTCGTGTTATAGATGGGTTCCAGTTTACTCGTTCCCCTTTAGGATCATGATTCTCGTCGCGATCATGTTCCCAGTGTGAATTTGTTTCCGGTAGAATGAAGATTTAGTCTTGCCTGAGATCGGGGCCCTATAAAGATCAGTCAGATAAATAGTAACGTTAAAATTGAATAGTTGACCCATTAAAATCAATTTAAAATTGCCATAGATAAAGCTTTTTAAAATGGCTGCGACTATTCGCACCCGGGTACCAGAAGTGCGAGGTTGGGATTAAAAAACTATTTAAAATATTATTGTTGGGTTCGTAGGGCAAAATGAGGTTTCAAATAAAAGATAATTGAAAGTACTATATGTTTGTAAACTTAATTCTTCAGTTTAACTAAAATAAAATACCATTGATATGATATTTATATAGCTTATAAAAGGATAAATGAAATGGGGCCCCAGAGGAATGGAGATTATGAGTTCAGTACCCTTTGGTATTTGAATATGGATAATCAAGTGTATGTGTGCAAAGTTTGGTCAATATCCATCTATTCATGTAGGAGTATTTGTTGGTCATTTTATTTATTTAGCTGATATAAGAAAAAGAAAGAATTCGGGGCCCCTGTCCCCAAACGAAATGTTATAAAAAGTTCATAACCCCCAGCATTTGATTCTGGATAATGATGGACATATATGCACCAAGTTTGGTCAAGATCCATCAATCCATGTAAAGGCCTTTGTGGAACAAACAAACAGAGCCACAAAATTTCACTTTTATATATATATATATATATATATGATTATTAATAATAATATATTGTCTATATCTTAATATCTTCTATTCTATATTATATAACCTTCTACATTATAAATATAACAAAATTTAAAATCGGGGTACCCATTGCATAAGTAACCTTTGATTATTTGATAAAATTAAACCTACTCAAAAGCAAAACAGTATTTTTTGTTACAACTTTCTCATTTTGGTTTGCCAACACCCTCCCTTTAAAAAAATAATTTTAAAATGGCATGCGGTAAGGACTTTTTTCTATATTTTGAAGGGTGGGATTTTCAGCTTACAAAAAAAAAATCTTGACATACCTTGGACAGCACTAAACCAGCTATGCCACTGTTATCATACAGTGGCAGTTGACATGGGGCAAAATCTAATGGAAAATATGGAAAGTCTGTCTGGCTCTACTCTTGAAAGGTCAGTAGGTCTTCATTTCTATCTCTAAACTATAATAATACCCTTACACACCGACTCACAATAATTGGATTGTCAAAAGTCTCTATCTTAATCATTATTGTGAGAATTTAATTTTGTCTCTTACATTAAATACAGATTTATAAAAAAAAATTTATGACAAGAAATGAAAACAAGAATGTGAATGCTATATTCCTTTATTATTTTGGAACGTTTCAGTTATACTGTTTCCAAAATAAAAAATAAATTGTACAGTGCAAAAGTGCATTTAACATTAATTCATTTCATTCATGTTACACAAAAATAATAATATGTAAATGAGAATAATGATTACTAATGACAATTTCATTTGCTAGTTTTTAATTTTCAAGTCATTTTCTGAATTATTAAAAAAAAATTTTAAACCAAAATTTAAATTTCCATTTTCAAAAACCATTTTTTAAAAGGGTGGAGTGGTAAAATGTAACCAGATGTTTGCATGCCAATTGTGAAAGTATATTATCAAGTAAATAAATGCACAATTTTAATGCATTATTCCTTACCATTGTTTGAAAATGTAAAATGACAAGGTCAAATGCAAACACTCTACTTTAAACATTTTGTAAACCATTAGCTGTTAATCCTGGCCTAAACAAAATCACATAAGTGATATAAATGAAACAGCATAAACTACTAATGTATAGGATAGTGGCACCCACATAATTATTTGCTGTTCAGAGTAACATATTGGAAGTTTGATGACTAAACATAGCAGACTCAGCCTTCTCAATCCTCTCCTGTAATAAAACTCCTGGCTTTTCATTAGATTCTTTTAAGTGGATTCGCATAAAAACTTGGAGGCCCTGGCGTAGAGTTTTCAACTTAGGGAATGGGGCTATGCGCTCAAATATCTCAACAACAGTCGTTTCATTTGGACTGGTTAAAATTTCTGTAAGGACTTGAACAAGGAAGCGAATCATTTTTTTGTTTTCCATGCCAAACTCTACAACCTGAGAATTAAATAATTGAGAAATAAATGATTAAAATCAATCTTATTAGGATATTATCTGTTACAGAATTACCGGATAACTTTTAACACTAAATTAAAATTAGATTTACTTCTAAAAAAATTCAATTTCTCAAAACTTCATAACTCAATGTCAAAGAATGTTTAACAAACCTTGAAAATGGAAACAGACAATGCTTTTGTGAGCAGGAGGTGTGATAAGAGATGCCCAAGCTTAATTCGAGAAGCTTTGTCCATGGAATCCATTACTTTAAACTTGTCCCACATACTAAATTGCACCGTGATCTGACAGATTAAAATATGAAATGTAAAATGTAATTTTAAAAAGCAATACTTGTACAAAAGCCATGGATAACTTAAGTGTAACAATAGACTGCAGCACCAGCATCCTCTCTAACACATACCAACTTCAATACATTTATACTTATTTAAATTAAGAACTTTAACTAAATTTAATCTGAGAACAATGTGGATTATAAATATTTAAATAAATTTAATAAAAAATGGCACAAGAGAAAGTTGTTGCATTTAAAATTAATCCTTAAAATATGGACAAATTATTGTAGCCCTGTCGCCTTTTCAACAGAAATTTTTTTTATGGTTCAAGATAAATATGGAGTTTGATTACACCAAATTATTGAATTTACAGAAGCTCCTTACCATAAATCTGCGGTCGAAAGTGCAGAATTTTTGCGCCACAAAACTGTAGAAAGGGTTATATTCTTTCTCATTCATACAGCAGTGAAGTAACACGTGAATGATCTCCCTTTCCTGAGACCGGTTGAGGCCTAGACGTAATAGCCTGGCAAATGCATCTTCAAAATCCTGAGATGTGAAAAGAGATAAATTAACTGTTGGCTGTGCTTATTTATAGATATTAAATAATAGAAATACTAGTAAATGTTAAATATACCTGGCATTCCAAAAGAAAATCAAATTATTTCTATATTATGCTGAAGATAACAAGAGGCTAAAATTGAAATCTAACCTCACTAGTTCCAAGAATACAAAAAATGTGCCTTCGTATGTCTGTATTCATCCCCTGCTGTTTGGCCAGTTTTAACATTTGTTTACTAAAAGTTCCAGTTACAGAAGTCTCTGTTTTAGACTTTGCATCTAGAAGAATAGATGTTAAATAACCTTATGCATGACAGACATACACATTTAAAAAAAACAAATATAGTAAATTAAAATTGTAAATGTGTGTATTATTCTTATTTTTTGTTGTTATTTTAATATACAGCTATGTTATTAAGAAATATACATTCTATACTTCTAACTTTTTAATAGATACAAAAGATATGTAGGAAATAGAAAAGTTACCTTTAGCATTTTCAAATGCATCTTTTCTGCCATCCCATGCTGATCCCACAATCCACCAACGTCCAACATGGTCCGCTTTGAGTAAATCCTCAAGACTAATATTCAGTTGATCCTCGCCCAGTGTTTGAGCTATGAGAAAAAACAAAATGCTGACAGTGAATGACAGATCAAATTAATAAAGAATATGAAATCATGTTAAAAAACCAAAGCATATTGCTTTATTACTTTATAGAAATAGAAACAAGCAAAAATATTACGACAAAACGTTAAACAATGAAAAAAAAAAGTTTATTTAAAAAAACTATATTAATGTATTAATTATTGCAGAAGAGGTTTCAAAATCTGTATTTAGCTAAGACTAATTGCATTTGAAGAATTTAAAATTAAGCTTTTATTCTGAACAATTTCACACAATTATGATACACTGAGTGTGAATTCGGGAAATAAAGTAATCAGGCTTGTAAGATGGTTGAAGTAAATGATAAAATAGGATTATCATTTCAATATATATATTAAAATATTTTTTGGTTAAGAAAAAGATAACATACCCCTTATAAAAGTCTTGATGATTTTCTTTAAATGTTCAATGTGAGAGGTATCATAATTAGGAATTTTGCGCATGTTGTTATTGCGAACTGCCATAAGAATATCCAGCATGAAACGTATACGAGACTGCATTCCTTCTTCACCAGAATTTTCTGCGGCTCTTGCTTTGGTTTGGATATCTAAAATGACTTGTTTCAGTCTTGCAGGGTCATCTCTTCGAAGACTAAAACCTGTAGCTAAAATTGGCACCAAAAAAAAACCCACTTCATTTCATTTCTGTTAAAAAGATCATTTTTATGTTAAAGGGAAAAAACTAATAAAGTAAGAAAAGGTTGATAAAGTAAGGATATACAAAAAAAGTAAAAAGAATAGCTACTTTTTAGTAGAAATAGCAGTATTTCTATATCTCTTTCATGAAATTCTGCGACAAACTTTTCAATCATGTCAAAAATCAATTTGCAGTGTATGACCTGTGAAAATAACATTAAAAAATTACATAGGTGATTTGCCTACTTATTGATTTTCCATTCAAAACAATATTAAAAAATATATATTTATATGTAACTATAAACAGTTTGAAATCATAAAAATATATAAATCATAAAAATATATAAAGATATAAATATATCAACTTAATAAATAAAGATATTTTTTTACAAGGGAATACAATTTTTCACAATAATCTATCCCAACATTCCAAATACAGTTCTAAATATTCAACGACAAACCTTGAAATTGTAGATGTTTGCAATTAGAAGCAAAACATTTTCCATTAGCTTCCCATTACCATACTCAGGTTCACACAAAAGTGTATCAAATTTGTTAGCTAACTTTTGAATAAAAAATGCTCCTGTAATAAAAGAAAATGAAGATAAAAGTAAGAAGATATGTGCTTTTTAAAAAGGTTTAAGTAGCTAGCATATTTTAATTATGGAAACAAAGTGCATCCAGACAAAAATAAAGTATAAAATGAAACAGTAGATAATTAAATTTTATCAAGTGGCTTATTAAAAAAATTATTTATAACAGGCGTGTGAAGTTTAAAAACAAATCATAAGACACTTAATATTTTTGAACTGTGATTAGACCAATTGTAGTTGTAACATACAGAAGTGAAGCTTGGACCCTAACAAAAACCTCAGAAAACCTATTAAACCGATTGGGAGAGAAAAGTTATCTGGAAAACATATGGACCAACAAAGGATTAGTATGGATGGAAAATATGAACCAACCAGGAATTGTGTAGTCTATTTCAGGATCCCACGCTAATAGCAGAAATAAAAAAGGGCAGGACACTTCGAGAAAATTCCAAATGACAGAGGAGTGAAGAGGGTGCAGCAACTAAACCCCAGGGGAAATCAGCTAAAATTCAGACTTAAGCTTACATGGATGATGTGAAAAAAGATATACAGCAGCTGGGAATCCAAGCATGGAAAAGAAAAGAATCAGTTAGGTCTGATTGGAAGGAAGGCCTAACCCCCACATAGGCTGTAGCACCACATGGATGGATGGATAAATATTTTGAACCTACCCACTTCTGATCCTACATTGCTGTACAAAATAGCCACTAGCATTGCCAACTCTGACACAAGTCTCTCAGGACATAATACAGGAGTAACCACAGCCTCCATGATAAGATCAGATAAAGCTTCATTCACATCAGCTCTACTATTGTCCATGTACAAGGTCTCCACTTGTGAGCTAATGGCCTGAATGGTTCCCTCACTCACTCTGGTTTGAAAAAATGTGAACATTTAATTATAGCGTTAGTAAAAAAAAAAACCATGTCACACTATATATATTCAAACAAAAAAAATATAAATATTTCTAGCTCTTTGCACTTTCAAAAAGAATAATTCATTGCAGTTATATATAGTCATAATCTAAGATAATTTGTAAAACAACATATAAATATTGAGCATTAAATAAACAACTCAATGTCTACACATATAAAGAGTCCAGTGTAACTTACTCTATACAAAGTTGAAAAAAATGAACAATAGTTTATAAGCATCATGTAACATGAATTTAAAAGGTTGAATGCCCCTGTAATTCACCAATATAATGAACAGATATGGGTGACGGTCAAGCCTGATTTTCCAATATGGGAACAGTAAGAAATAACAAGAAGTTGGAAAAGAAAATTCCAAGTTTAATTAACAATACTGAAACATGAAGTGCTTACTTGTTGACAAGACCTTTTAACCTTTTCCGTAAGGCTTCATTATGCCCACCGGCCATCATAGCTCTTTTAGCTGGTGGGATGTATGTTCCTGCATCAGAGGGTTTAATGATATTGCCTTCTGAATCTCTGAGTCTTCCGTAGATATCTTCTTTCAGTTGATTTTCCATCTCTTGCCTTGATCTTTTGCGTGAGATCTTCTGTTCTGTTTCATCTTCCGATGAATCCCCCGATACATCTTCATCACTTTCTTCTTTCACCTCAGTTTCACTTTCCTCGACCGAGGCTTCTTCATCATCAGACATAAATTCTTCATCAGAAATCTGATTATTTTCTGCTTTTCCCTTCAAGGGAGTTTCAGCAAATTTGACTTTCACTTTCTTTTCATCTTTTTTACCCTTTTTAGCTGGTTTGAGAATAGACTTTGGAGATTCTGCAGAAGGGTCCCACTCTTTCCTGGTCATCGTATCCTCTGACTCTGTGGTAAAAAAAAACCTTTGTCAAAGTTGTGTATAGTTACATAAATAGATAACATTTATGTGCAAATAAATAAAACTAAACTAAATAAAAAAACTAAATTGTTATTAATATAATAAGAGAAATCATTTTAATATGATTTTTTTAAATTTTGAATTTCAAACTCATGGTTTTACCTGATCCAGTATTCTCTTCAGAGAGATCATCATCCTCAGATTCAGAATCACTGTCACTGTTCCCATATCCAGGGGTAACATCATCAAATGCCTTGATTTTATCTGAATCAGTGGCATCCAAAATATCTTTATTCGGGTTAAAGAAAAGTGAAAGAGGTGCTTACATATTTTGAAAAAATTAAATGTAAGTTATTGTGGTTAATGCTTAAAGTTATCTACTACAGCATTATCATCCTCCACTGCATGAAAGGCATAAGGCTGGGTGACTTTTAATGTTGCTTCATGACAGAATTATCAAGGGATAGTATTTATTAATTAAACACACTTTAAATAAATAATTAATATGTTAATACAAATTTTTATGAAGAAATTTAAAGGATACAGTCAAGTCCATCTTTTGCAAAGGATGATGGCAAAAATGTTTTTCCTTTCTTTTTCCTAAATTTCAAGTTTTTTTCCAACTGCTTAAGCTCCTTTTCATCTTTTTTAATAGCTAACTTTAATCCCTGAACCCGAAAATCTTCTGTCTGGAAAAAAAAAGGTGGAAAAGTTTAATAATATGACACAAAAAACACTAAGACAAAAAGTGCAAAATAAAAATGGCCAACAAATATTGTGTACCTATCTATAAGGAAAAATAAATAATTTTCAAAGAAAATATTTCTCATAAAAATATCGACAACATTAGTGAAATCAACATTGATCAAATAAGGTTAATCAAGCTTATTATTTTTCATGAAAGTTTTATACAGTTTTCAGTGATTTTCTTGGGCGAGGACATATATCTACTCTCAATTATTTTTATCAAATATCTTAATGAAATTCCAGTAAATGTAAAAGAATACCTCCAAAATGTCATGATTACCTCTTTTTTATTCTCTTCTTTCTTCTCCCCTTTCTTCTCTTCTTTCTTTTCAGTTTGCTGTTTTGATTTTTTCAGTTTTAATCGTTGTTCTTTCTGTTCTTGGCACTTGGCTTTAAAAGCTGTGTCAATATCTTTCAAGGATTTAATACGATCCTAAAGTTACAAAAGGAAGGAATTAGTGGCACAAGATACGTTTAAGCTTTAAATAAAAAAGGCAGGACAGTAAAAATGGTGGTTTAGAAAAAGAAGAGCTCAATTTAAAAATAAAATAATAATTTTTGTTAATACTTGGCTTAAAAAGCTGTCTAGTTTATCTCACCATTTCATTACAGAAAAAAAACAAACCCATGAGGCCTACTATGAGAATGGCAGCTTCTTTTAATACTTTTAGGAATGTGCCATTGTTTATTCTTAGACTATGCTTTATAATAAACTACTGATCTCTTCTTCTATATTTTGAGGGTCCACTATCAATGTATTGATCATTCTGGCTCCTATATTTGTAGAGGGTTTGCGATGTAGCTGCGCATGGTTTTGAAGGGGATACTTCACTGGTTGAATTTAAGGCAAGGATTTTCCTGAGTGTCACGTATGATTTCATGGGCCTTGAATCACTTTTACAATTAAAACGACTTACATTGCAGTAGGCATCTATTTCTCTTGCTGTCCACTTGGATACTAGATTGCAGCTAACAGCTAAGTGTTTTTTTTAATTTAATTTTGTTTTTAGTGTTCTTTGTTCAGTGAAAAAGGCTTCTTGCTGACAGATTCATTGTTTTGTTGCGTCCTTTACTTCAGGTTTTCCCATACTGATTCACTCAATCAATTCCTTTTACCTAACCAGATTACCATCTAGGCTAAGCTTGAGAACTAATGTTATTACAGATTGATAAAAATTAATTACTTACAAAATTTCGATGTGCAAATGCATCTTTTCTTGCTTTTTTCAGCTTGCGTTCTTCTTTTCTTCTTTCTTTACGACTTAGAGTTTTGGATGGTGGCACCTTAGTCCGGAAATGTTTGGACATTTTCTGTTGTAATTAATAAAAACATTAAATAAAGACTGTGTAGTCTATAACCATTCTATCTAATTTCATGAACATTAAATACATTTAAATAATTTGATGAATTTCTATGAATGTTAATTTAATAATTGATTTTTATTAGACCTACTGAATTTTTATATAGTTTAAGTAGAATTAGGTCTTTACATTCTCTCTTAGCATGACATAAAATTGAGTTTAAGTTAAGGTAAATAAGCTAACTGATATTATAAAGTGAAGTCTAAAACTTAGTTACACACTTCACCCTGTCTCCTACTTGCCAGCACTCTTTCCATGCACAAAAAGGATTCACAAACCACCTGCATACTCACCATTGAGTAATTAGGATTACAGCTTTGGTCATCTTCACATGCGACAAACAATAGTAAAAACCTAATACTGCCTAAATACGCTATTAATTGAGGCAAATTATTAAGTAATTATTAAGTAAATCTTTAGACTTATAACCTAGACTTACTGAACATAAATTGAAATTACTCACTTAGTGATAGTGTTGACTTGAAGTCTCTGCTCTACTCTTAGAAGTCTTAAGATTAAAGAGGAAGTAGTAAGTTACTGAGTCTACTCAATGCTACTTTCAGTTAAAATATTGAAGACTAAAGAATGAAAAATATTAAATATTTTAGGTACTCCTTGAAAATGTAAAAAACATTGCAGCATACTTGTGGAACAAAATGTGGTTTGCAGTCATTTTTTTGTTAAATAAGTTGCGTGATATTATTTAATAATTTTAAAGAGAAATTGTTCCTGAACTGTGCGGTCTGATTTTTTATCAAGAAATTTTTTGGCCAAATATATCAAGTTGAATTAAGGAAAGTCTACTATTTAATTTCTCATATATTCTCCACAAGTCATGGTTTTTAATCAATTATATACAACAATGGGGAAAATGAACAAACCACCCCCCCCCCCTTTCCAAATTTTATTAAAGTTTTTTTAAAACAGTGACCACATGGGTATGATGGATACTATTGAGTCCATTGTGCATTAAAGTTTGAAAATAAGAAAATAATGAACGAACAGTGGTAGCTCTCTCAAAAAGTCTCTGCCCAGTTTTTTTTTATTTAAGCCACTTTATAACTTATATTTTCTTATATGCAGACCTGTTTACCCCTGGATTAGTGTCTGCATAGTTTTCAGCTCTCAAAAACGTAGTTTCAAGCTCGAAAGAGTAGTTTGGTCAATTAGGAAGTGGGTGACATCCGAATAGCATTTAGTCAAAATGGAACCGGAAATGCATCGCCGCTATTTGGACCCCGGTCCCATTAAACTAAATGCTATTTGGATGTCATTTGAGGTATTTTTTTTTAGTTAAACTGAAGAATTAGGTTTACAAACATATAGTCCATTCAAATTCAATGTTAGGCATAGGCTACTAACACTAGTGACTCAGTGAGTGATTGTCAGTAATTGTCTGTATTGAAAATAACATTATAACAATATTATATAATTAGGTAATCTCAGTAAGGCTGAGCTTGAAAAAAAGATGTTGAGTTGGTGTAGTGAGTGTAGTGAGAATGAGAAGGCAGTCACAATCAGTAAGGACTGTTGTCTATTAAAGTCTAAAGTATAGTGTCTATAGTCTATAGTCTATCTATACTTATACTTTAGTCGGTATAATCCCTTATTTTAGTGAGTTTTATTATTTCTTGAAAAATAAAATTTAAAATTCATTTTTGCCTTATGGAACTTAAATAAAAGTATTTTTAAAAGTAAAATACCATCTTTTTGTTGGAATACAACAACAATTTAACACATTTTACGAGATCAAAAGACGTACATTTGCATGAATCTTTTGTCTTTCACGGCGCCATTGTGGTCAAATGAGGAGAACTCTTCTGTCCTTAAAGATACCTTATAAAAGTTGCCTAATTGGATGTATCTATATTAAAATAAATATTTTGTATTCAATTTATAACTTTAATTATGCGTAAGAGTCGGATATTTCTTTCTAAAGAAGTGATAAGTGGTGGGTTTAAAATTGTAAATATTTAGGTCTCACATAATTTATGTTTCTTTTATCGGATTATTATTGTGAAATAAAGATCTTGTTTCACTAATAATTGGATTTACAATAAATAGAACGTTTATTTAACTTCTGCAAATTGTCGTGGAACTCGGCCTTTAGGCGACGGTGGCTGACGGTGGATAATGATTGATGACGGTTCGTGATTGTGGATGACGGTGGATGGGGTGAATGATATGTGGATGAAGGTGGATGACTTTGGATGATGGTGGATGATAGACGGATGATGGTGGATGATAGATGGATGATTGTGGATGATGGTGGATAACGGATGATGATGCTGGATGACGTTTGATGTTGGTGGATGATAGATGGATGATTGTGGATGACGATGGATGATGGTAGATGATGGTAGATGACGGTGGATGATGGTGGATGACGGTGGATGACAGTGGATGATGGTGGATGATAGATAGATGATTGTGGATGACGGTGGATGATGGTAGAAGACGGTGGATGATGGTGGAAGATGGTGGATGACGGTGGATGACGGTGGATGACAGTGGATGATGGTTGATGTTGGTGGATGATATATGGATGATTGTGGATGATGGTAGATGACGGTGGATGACGGTGGAAGATGGTGGATGACGGTGGATGATGGTTGATGTTGGTGGATGATATGTGGATGATGGTAGATGACGGTGGATGACGGTGGAAGATGGTGGATGACGGTGGAAGATGGTGGATGACGGTGGATGACAGTGGATGATGGTTGATGTTGGTGGATGATAGATGGATGATTGTGGAAGATGGTGGAAGATGGTGGATGACGGTGGATGACAGTGGATGATGGTTGATGTTGGTGGATGATAGATGGATGATTGTGGATGATGGTGGATAACGGATGATGATGGTGGAGGATGGTGGATGACGGTGGATGACAGGGGATGATGGTTGATGTTGGTGGATGATAGATGGTTGATTGTGGATGATGATGAATGACGGTGGATGGCTGTGGATGATAGATGACGGCGGATTACTTTGGGTGCCTGTGGATGATGGTGGATTATGTTGGATTACTGTGGGTGACGAAGGGTGACATTAGATAACGGTAGATGACACATCCATCTATCATCCACCGCCATACATCCAACGTCATCCAACTTCAGTATATACAGTATACAACAACGATGTCGGCACACAAAGGACTAAATGGTACAAAACAAATAATTGTAAAAACTGACCTTTTATGCTCTGGGAAGTCCAAGGAAAAAAAATGGAACTGTTTTAAATGTTTTATTAAACAGGATATCGTCCTTTTAAGACAATCAAAAGTTCGTTGAAGACTTTAAACTTTGTGAAGTTGCAACGGAACTGAAACTCCTTTAAATATGATGGAAACAATGTGTCACTTGTTCCGTACTGTCTTTTCAGTTTACGTTTGGCGCGCATCCATAGATTTTCTATATTTTGTGTGTGCACATCTGGGTCGTTGGGATCAACAAAATTTCTTTCGTGCACTACAACTGAATGTATGAATATGCCATTGGACAATTGCTCTATGTTCCTATAGCCTGCCCAGCCATCTGTTATTATGTGTGTCCCTGGCAAAACCTGTTGGACGATAATGTTTTCCAGGGTTCCAGCTGTTCTGTCTGGAACTTCCACTAGGAAGCATTTTCCAGTGGACCTTTCTATGCCACCAAAAACCCAGTGGCCTTGACGCCATGCTCCTCTGTGGTATTTCCGATGGAAATATTTTGATTCGTCAAGCTCAACCACCATGGGCTCCCCATTATCGTCAAAGCCACCAATCTGAGTTGCATGCTGGTTCAGATAAATCCCTATATCCTCTCGAAGAAAATTAAACCAGTCAATCACCGTGTTTTGGTTTTGGATTTGAGACTCATGCCTCGTAACATCTTGAGGAGAATCAATGGCGAAACAGTATATGAGAATGACTAATTTAGATAATGGTAGATGGCTCCTAGTAAAAAATGAGCCATCTCGTATACTTTTCCTCAAACGACAAATTGGACACTTCCATATATGTTTGTCAATACCTTGATTGTGGGTTGCAAGGTTACAAGCCACATGGCAATTGTTGCATTCCATTTTATTCTTTAAAAGGGAGCGCCTTGCAAGAAATTCCATTGTTGTATTGACATTATTTGTTGCCTCACAAAGTGTGCGCATAAGCCAACTCTCAGTCCGAAGTGCTGCATCATTTAAAATTTCCGTTGGATCAACAATTTGAATCCTATTTAATCTTGGTCTTCCGGCCATTTTCAACAAAGAGATCCCAGTACACCATTAATACCGCAAAATGAGTGCGTCCTATTATATATAATTATGATCACCAGCCCTCACTCTCATGCTTCTTAACGCAAATCAGTCAACTTAAGCTCATTGGTATACGAAAAAGGGGGAGGGGTGCTCAAAGTAGCGCTGACCAATCACGAACAACGTATCTGCTTACCATGAGTGTGATTTGCGATGACCATCAGTAAATGACCCCACGCTATGGACGATTTCCCCCACCCCCATTTCTCCGTCGCCACAAATGTTCAAAACAAATGGGACGCATTCTCACAAATTTGTGCCACCCCCCTTCCCTTTCCTTTTCCAGATCCATTCTAGACAATTTTTTCAACACCAGCTCCGCTTCAAGCTCCGAAAAAATGAATAAGGGGAGGGTGATGATTGAGAGTTTATTAATATTATTGTCAGTTCCCTATGTTATTAGCCGTGCATTTGAAATACACGTATCGGCAACATAATAGGTAGAAGTAGAAGAGTAGGGCAACGGTTTTAATAAATACTACTTTGTTGATATGAAACGGGAATATTATGTTGTTTTTTTGTGTTAAATTAATATATCATATCACATATATACATAAAAATGAAAATTTGTGGGTTCGTCTGTCTGTTTGTTCCACAAAAGCGTTCACGCGGATTGATGGATCTTGACCCAGCTTAGCACATATATCCATCATTATCCGGATGGAACTCTAAGTCTTAAGGATAAGGGGTTATGAACTTTTTATAACATTCCGTTAGGAGCGGGGGGGGGGGGCGCCCGAATTCGTTTTTTTTCCTAATATTATATGTGCTATATAAATAAAATTACTAAAAAAATACCTTAACATGAATGGATTAATCTTGTAATGGGATCTCATCGGGTTTGCGGGATCATACCGAGGTTCTATAGGAAAACGGGATCAGTGGCCTACCTGGATCGGGTTCTATTGGGATCAGGATCCCACCGGGATTTGGGATCAAACGGGAAGCAGGATCCCCACGGGATCGGGATCCCACTGGAATCAAGCTATCGACGTGAATGGGATCACACCAGGATCGTGATACCGACGGGATTGGGTTCCCAGCGGGAAATGGGATCGATCCTAACGGAATCGGAACCCCCAATGGGGTTGGTATCCCAATGGAAATGGGATTACATTGGGAACGGGATTTCAATGGGATTGGGATTCCAATAGGATCTGGATCCCATTGGAAAATGGGATACTATCGGGGACCGAAAGGTTTACACAAGTTATT